TTGGCAAATAATCATATAAACAAAAAAAAAAAAAAGTGGAGTTGGGTTCTGGGTTTGACAGAACCTAGTTGCTGGGTTTGATGGAACCCAGCAAATGGGTTCCATCGAACCCAGATCTGTTGGGTTCGACGAAACCCAGCCTGGGTTCTAGCGAACCCAGCAGATCTGGGTTCGATGGAACCCATTTGTTGGGTTCGTTAGAACCCAAGCGGGGTTCCGTCGAACCGAGCAAACTGGGTTTAATGGCTTGCCGAGGAAGAAGAGGAAGAAAGAAGAGAAAGAAAGAAGAGGAAGAAGAGGAAGAAAAAGAGAAAGGAAGAAGACGAAAGTTTTTTATTTTTTATTTTTAAATATAAATAGTAATAATGTGAGTTGGCATGAAAAAAAATCCACATCATGAAAAAAAAAATCCACATCAACACGTTTTTAATTTGTTTTCGCCACGTCATCAAAAAAATAATAAAAAATGCCACATAAACAAGTTAACGATCGAAATTAACAGAAGGACTAACGTAGTGCATTTTTTAAAGTTTAAGGATCAAAAAAATGCAAAAAATTGTTGAGGGACCAAAAATGTGCAACTCACTAAAGTTGAGGGACCAAATTTAACATTTAACCTTAAAAATTTGGAGAGGAACAAACAAAAAAACAAAAAAAAATTAAAAACTTGGAGGTTGTTACAATTGGAGTGGTCCCTTTCATCACATTCATGGTTAAGGTGATTTCATCCAGAAGCCTATCGGACCCACAAGAGCGAATAAAATCTTTTTCTTTTTTTTTTTTTTGCATGATTTCAAATTGTCGTATTGTCATGCACAAATCAATTTTTACTTGTATTGAGAAAGAAGTACAAATCAATTATAATGTAATACAAGGCTAGCAAAAAAATCATCCCATAATATCGCTGGAGTCACTTACCGCATTAGGGTACCCCAAAGCTAGCATGAGTGTCGTGTTGCCCATCCATAAGGCAAGTTTGTCCACTCAGATGGTTGTAGGTTTTGAGGTTCTATTATGGGTATCAATTTAAAACTTATTTTATATGATTTGTATAAATAAAATATTTAATTTAATAATTTAAATTTAAAAATATTGATTATAATGTGTCAAATTCTTCTTCATTAAAAAGGATAATTCAATGATGTTACATTAGGACTACAGCATAAAGATATTAAAACGCATGAGAACTGTTTGTTTAGCACGCTATTCAACAGGAGTTAGATGAATGTCCCATCTATAATGTCGACTTTACCGCCAATTTGGAGAGCTTGGGGTTTGGAGATCAAGGAAGCAGAGGATTGAGTTTACTTCTTCATCTTCGTGAACACATTAAAATGACAAGATCCCTTACCAAAGGATGAGTGCTTTTAATAAGGACTTCCTAGTTTTCAAGACTCTAAACGAGTCCCCACCAATAGCAACTAGCCATGGATTTTTCCACTTGTTCCTTTTGGGTCCACATCTTAGGGATCCCTCTTAGGAGGATGACAAAGAAGGTAGGCAAGAGGATTGAGGGGAAGTCAAGCAAGCTTAATTAAGAAGGTAGAGGTATGGGAAGGTGTGGAAGTGTGAGGCACTCACCTATAGGTGCAAATAGAAATAAATTTTCAAAAACCCTTGTTAAGGGGCTCAAGGGTTACAAATCATAAACTAAGGGGCAAAGGCCCTCAAGGTCAATAAGCTGAGAGATAAAACATAAGTTTTTGCCATCCAAAGTCATGTAAGATGGATGTTTAGGTGGTGCTAACGTATGGATGGGCAAGGAATGACTAACGCCCAAGTGTTGCACATGAGAATGGGAGATAGGGTGTTAAATTTTGCCTCATTTACTTAAAATCAAAAATAAGAGGGCAATTATCCTTAGTTTGAAGGGTGAGGGCAAAAGCCTTAAAAATCAATAAAGTAAGTGATAAAACATGAATTTTTACCAACTAGCTGAAGTGATAAGGAACGATATCAACCATGGTTAGAACACAAATCAAATACCTCGATATTTTCATTAAAAGAAATAGTTCAAACAAGCTATGCCTGACAACCTTAGCGAAGTACCCTTAATGAAGTTTTACCCAATGCCTATGAATGGATTAATTTGCAAGTGCTTGTAGCACTAATTGAGCAATAGTTCTACACACCCATGTATAAAAATAATGAAGAGATTTTAGGGCACAATCCCATATGAACTTTTTTGCAACTTTCCACAAACAAAATACAAAAATGGCTAGGAGAAAAGGACATGAAGAATACAGATAGTTCCAAGACCATGACAAACTTGCTAGTCCTATTATTTCAATAGCTCCAACCAAACACATATTGCTCAATTATTCTTATAATAAACTTAGGCTAGAAAGTATGTCTATATTAATAGGTTAAAATTTCATAAATATTAATATGAAAATTTTGTCTTGATATTATTGATATTTAGATAAGTTTCATGAGATTTTATTTCATTTTACACAAATTTATATTTTTTTTCAAAAAAAGACTTGGTCACAAGAAATTAGAATTTTTAGGACCAAATTAAAGAAATCAGAATTTTGGGGATCAAAGAGTCGAATTAATAAAAGATGTGAACCAAAACAGAGATGAAGAACCAAAAATACATTTGGCTCAAAATTCCCTACATGAACTCTATTCACCAATTTTCTCGGGCATTTCAAACTTGAGGTATCAACCCGTTGGACAATTTTCAGCAATTTGAAAATAAATTATTAATATTTTAGTGTGGTGTCATCATTTTGTTTGTTTTGTTTCTTTTTATTTTATTTGAGAACAAGCAAAACTTAAGTTTCAAATAATTTGATAAGATGTATTTTTTACATCTTTTAATCTCTTATTTTAGTCTTGATTTTTGTTGCTATTGGGATGGGTAAATGTGATTTTTAATAGATTATATATAATTTTCATTTTTTGTACAGAATAAGACTTGAATGAATAATACTAGAAGTTTAAGGATTTAAATGAAGATCTTTGTAAGTTGAGGGACCGTGTTGTGAGAAGAAAGTTCACCACCAAGGACCTAAATGAATGAATTCGAAGTTATAAGATCAAAGTGATCATCATATAGAAGGTGGAGGACCAAATGTGCTATTTTACCATTAAAGAAATTACAAAAAATTTCAAAAACCTGACACAGGTTACGTGTCGGTAATAGCATAGTAGGAATTGACATTATACAATTTATTGACACCATTAGAAAATTTTGATTTTTTAAAAATAAAATCTCAAATACAATTTTTGTAAATAGAGACATAGTTGCTGGAAAAACTTTTTATTTTATGAGATTTGATTTTATTTGACTCTAAATTAGTTGAAAGGTAATAAAATTCTAGATATTAAAGGGTTTATTATAAAAACAAAAATAACTTTGGAATATAAGTGTATTGAATGAAAGTTTGAGATAAATCAATGTGATTTGTTTAATATTAGTGATAAGTGAACTTGAAATTTTTTTTTTTTTTTTTTTTAACATATATGCAAGGGGTGGGTTTCGAACCCAGTTCGGGGGAGGGGGGAATGCACCAGGGTGGCTATTGCCACTAGGCCGCAAGGGTCAGGTGCAAGTGAACTTGAAATTTTTTTTAGTAAATTAAAGAATTTCACATAATATAATGTATTTTTATTCATTAAAATTCAAATAGAGATACAATGTATTAATTAATAAATGAAAATAAATTCAGTATAACTTGAAGAAAACATATTGAATAGGTCAAGAAATATTGTTTTCACATGATTATTAAATATGTTCCAAATATATTAATTTAAATTCAATATTAGTTAGATTATAATGAAATTATATACCTTAATACTTCATATCTTCTTAAATTTTATTATAAATTGTTATTTTTAATTAATTTTAATTGAAAATTCTTTTTTTATTCGTTTAAATTATTTTAAAATTAATGATTTTCAATATTTAATTTATCATAATCTCTATTAAAATGATACTCTATTCATCACTATATTGTTAGTTGAGCACTAGTGCACTTGCTAGTAACTTCGTCTCATGTATTATCTGTAACAACGGATTGAGCTTTTGGAGAAGTTTCATGGTGACCAAAGAGAGGAGGAAGAGGAAAACAGGAATTTTTCAATGAAGAAACAAGGCTGTGAAATTGAAGCAGTTGGTATCAACTACAGCATCTGCATTCCCAAGAGAACAAACCATTTAAGATTCTTCAAAATAAATAAGCAGAAAGAAGTTGATCAAGAACTTCAGCTGCCGGATTCTTTGAAGGTTGAAAAAGCTTGTACTCCGGTGGCTGGGGTCCTGCAAGTTCTGAAGGATGTGAACTGCAGAGCAAAACCGTGGGAAATCCTAGCCATTGTTGGTCCAAGTGGAGCAGGGAAATCTTCTCTTTTGGAGATCCTGTCTGGGAAACTTGTCCCACAAAGTGGTTCCATTTTAATCAACCAAAACACTGTGGACAGAGCTCAGTTTAGGAAGATTTCAGGCTATGTCACCCAGAAAGATATCCTCTTTCCCCTCCTTACTGTTGAAGAAACCCTCATGTTCAGCGCCAAGCTGCGTTTAAGGCTACCGGAACCTCAACTCAGGTCTATTGTCAAGTCCCTGATCTAAGAACTGGGGCTGGAGCACGTAGCCATGACTCGGATTGGAGATGATTGGGTTCGTGGAATATCTGGAGGTGAGAGGTGCCGGGTTTCCATCGGAGTCGATGTGATACACGACTCGAATGTGCTGATTCTTGATGAACCCACTTCAGGCCTTGACAACACATCTGCGCTGCAAATTATTGACATGCTGAAAGTTATAGCTGAAACTAGAGGAAGAACCATAATCTTAAGCATTCATCAGCCTAGTTTTCGAATTGTGAAGCTGTTCAATTCAATTCTTTTGCTGGCTAATGGCTCTGTTCTGCACCAAGGCACTGTGAAACAGCTCGGAGCCTGCTTGAGGGGGATGGGTCTGCAGCTTCCTCCACATGTAAATACTGTAGAATTCGCCGTTGAGTCTATTGAAGCTATTCAACAACAAAAAAAGGTCCAGTTGGAATCACCAGCACAAGTTCCGTCACAACAGTGGAAAAGAGAAGAAACTGGAGAGAGCAGAGCTAGCAAGTTCATTCTGCAGCATTTGTTTCAGGAATCCAAGGGTTTGGACAAAGAAATTATCAATACAGGGATTGATTTCCCAATGGATTTTGCCAATTCTATATTCCAAGAAACCATCATCCTCACTCACAGATTCTCCAAGAACATTTTCAGAACAAAGGAGCTCTTTGCCCGCCGGGCAATTCAGATGCTGATTTCAGGGCTTGTTTTGGGCTCAATCTTTTACAATGTCAAGGACGATCTCACAGGAGCAGAAGAAAAGGTGGGTCTGTTTGCATTCATACTAACATTCTTGCTATCATGCACAATAGAAGCACTCCCAATCTTTCTTCAAGAAAGGGAAATTCTCATGAAAGAGACATCTTGCGGAAGCTACAGACTTTCCACATACAGCATTGCGAATGCCCTTGTTTATCTACCATTCATTCTCATCTTAGCAGTTCTGTTCACCATTCCATTGTACTGGCTGGTGGGATTGAACCCAAATTTCATGGCCTTCATGCACTTCCTGCTATTGATCTGGTTGATTCTCTACACTGCCAATTCTGTTGCGATGTGTTTCAGCGCCTTGGTTCCAAATTTTATAGTCGGAAACTCAGTCATCTCCGGTGTGATGGGATCCTTCTTCCTCTTCTCCGGTTACTTCATATCAAAACATGAGATTCCCAGTCACTGGATTTTCATGCATTACGTATCTCTGTTCAAGTATCCGTTTGAAGGGTTTCTAATAAACGAGTTCTCAAAGTCAGGTAAGTGCTTGGAGTACATGTTGGGAAGCTGTTTGGTAACCGGGTAGGATGTGCTAAGAGGAGAAGGCTACAGCGAAGAAAGCAGGTGGAGGAATTTAGCGGTCATGGTTTGCCTCATCTTGCTTTACCGGTTTGTTTCATATGTGTTTCTAAGATGCCGGGGCTTGGAGAAGAATCTCCGCTCGGCTCTCCCTTGAAGAATATGCTCGAGTCTGTTTGAAATTTACATTAGCTAGAACCTAAAAGGGTTAGAAGAAGAAGAAAAACTAAATAAGAAAGGAATGAAATAGGTTAAACCCCCATTTTGGTCCCTCAACTATCGTACGGACCCCCGACTTAGTCCCTCAACTCAAAAAATCCCTGATTTGGTCCTTACTGTTTACCATTTTGACCCCGATTTAGTCCCTCCGTTAAAAATCCGTTAAAAATCTAGTGACGTGTCCTTAATTAACAAAAGCATGATGACATGTCAACCATAAAATGACACCTCAAACGCACACCTGGAAAAAGAGATGACATGCAGTATGACCCATTCTGCCCCAAAACCAAACAAGAAAAAAAAGTGGGTCCCACCTCCTGCAAAACCTGAACCCTTCTCCCCCTTTCTTCCCTAAACCCATTCGAGCCTTCTTCATCATCATCAACCAACCAAATCCACAGAAAAAA